CGAGGTGAGATCAGGTGAGGCTCGGCTCTCCTTGGCCCGAAACGATGCTAGCTGGCCATAACGAAGCGCAGACAACATTATTGTCATCGAGCAAAAGTAGTCCAGTGGGCTGTGGGAGAATCCTCTAGTAGCGCTCCAATTTACCCAGTCCTCGAGTCACTTATTCTTCTTCCCACCAGCAATTTGCATTTGCAGGTTTTTGCTGACTTTTCCCCGGCCAAAAATCACTTTGTTCAGCCTCTATTGCACTTTGCATTGAGGGGACATTTATTTATCTAGTAAATGCGGATGATTTTGCATAATTTATAAGGCTTTGCATGGCCTTCTTAGTCGGTGATGAGGCTTTTACTGTTCTAAGCCAGTTATATGTAAAATAGGTTCAATAATTCTATTTAAATTTGTAAGAAATGCAAGGCAGTTTAAAATATAGTAGTTTGGATTGACGGAGAAATTCTATAAAATATTAAATTATTCTAAAAAGGGAGTAAAACATTTTAACATGATTATTATTTGCTTTTTATGAAAGAAAAATAAATATTATCTATATATTTTTGGAATGCCTCAAATTTGTTGTTCCTGATAAGGAATTCTTTTCAATATTTACAAAATTGAAAAGCAATTTACCGATTTTATCGCAACAAAACCCAATCCACACTTGTTGCTTTTTGGAAAAGAAGGACCTGCTAACAAAGCAGTTCCTGTGACCTGTTTCCTAGCACAATGCCAAACTCAATGGGGTATTCTGGGAACGGAAACGAAGTGCTGTAAAAATAAATTAGAAGTGGAAAAGAAACAATCCTGTTGAAGGTGTCCTTTTGCAGGCGTGTCAATTTACTTCCGTTACAAAAAAATAAATCCCACTGCAGGTGTTCATCCCACTCACCTTGCCATTACTTTGGCATTAATTACTACCTAAATTGCCGATAATTGAAACATTTTGCTGGCCTGTCTGCCATTTCCATAAGCCAAATAGATCGCTTCCTCCTCTGACAGATGGGGCTAACATTTTCAAATGCCCACGCCCACTTAAGTGGGAAAGGGGAAAACCAGTAGCAAAATCTGCGAAAATGCTGCTGGGCTGTGGTTGCAATCAAAACCATCAGCGGCCACAAAGTCCACGTCGTCGTCGTCATCATCATCATCATCGTAAAGCGTTTCCATGGCCAAGATTGATCATCGGGCTGGGCTCGAGCTCATCCATTTCTGTGTTTTTTTGTTTTTTCCTCTGCTGCCTTAGCTTTTTGGCCTGCCCAATCAGCCACACCCACAAGATGTGCAACGCTCATATTAAAATGGCTTAAAAAGGCAGCCAGCCAGCGCTGAAAGTGGCAATACGAAGCCATAACAACGGCGACCCGCAGGAGATCTCCCAGAGATGCCTCGCTTCCGTTCCAGCTGCAAGGTGTGTGGCAGCAACGGCCCGGGCCCAAACAGTAGCCCCAACTTCCACTGCCACCGAAAGCGCAACAATTGGCAATTTCATTTGCTGCGCCCCAAAACGCAGCTCCAACAGGTACGCAGAGCCGCCGATGTGGATATGGCTGCTGGTGGGTCTCGCGAACAGTGGAGACTCCATAACAGGGACTTGAGATATTACAAGAACAATTTTTAAACTACCTTTAATAAATTTTTAATTTTAAATTTATTCAATATGATACCACATACTGCATTTACTTTGATTACACAAATGTAAAAAGATTATTTAACTTGTTTTTAAAATATTATATAAGAGTACCTTATAGGAAAGTGTATTCAAATTTTTTTTGTCAAACTGTGGGTTTATAAATAATAAAAAAATGTCCTTTCCTAATATTTAAATTATCATAATACATTTTAAATGTCTTAGAACTAATGAGAATATTTTGTGTTATTAAATATGGTTTTGGATATATATAATATTTTTTAAAAAACATGTAAATATTTCTTATCTAACCTCCTTCAATCTGACAATTTAAAATAAGTCCGCATTTAGCACCTAATTATTTTTTTCATGTTATAAAAACCATCAAAGTTCATCTTAGGCTGTAGCCACTGTTCCCAACTTGGCATGCTCCATTCAAACTTTCTACAACTGCGACACGCTGCGATCTCTATGAACATGGTCTAAATGGCGGTGGGCTACGTGGGACAGGTGGGTTCGGGGCAGGGATGGGGAGCTGTTGCTCCATGGAGCAGTGCATAAAAGCTGGCGGTGCTACATCATCGTCAAAACCGTCGAGTTGCGACTTCGATTTCCTGTGCCTGGATTGACGTCTCCCAGGTCACTTGCCACAACGTTTGGCTGCATTCGTAATTGCTCCGCAGCGAAATTTCCATATGATAATATTTATTCGCTGGAATATGCCTCCATCTCCAGTCGGCTCCACTGCATCAGTCCGTCCTGTGGAGGCTACGCCTGCGCTCCACGCAACACTCTTTTTCACTGAGAGAAATAAGAAGAGGTATTTTAAATCTTCTTAATTTTTATAGATTCTTTAAGTGGTACTATAAATATTATATCAAGAATGATTTTAAATTATATATTCCAATGTTGCCTCCTTTCAAATTATTCCCTTGATTTTGATTGTATTATATTTTTTTTTTTAATTGAAGTCCTTAAGATTTCGTTCTCTGTTCAGTTGTTTTCGTTGTCTATTTGACACTGCGCAGGCGGCGAGGATGCTCTGCATCCAACTCGAAACTCCACCTCCGAATGGCGAACTCCAACTCCGATTCCGAAATGTGTGGGTGGTCGTTTGAATGCCCTGCCCGGCTGCAAGTCTTTCTCCCAGAGTCGTGTTCGCATTTTTTATTTCCATTTTCCATCTTTCCGAAAGGCCAATGCTTCCACTTCTTCAATCGATTTGAGTTTTATTATCTGGTTGGCATTTTAGTTGAATTGTTAGCTTAGTTTATGCGGTTTGCTCCTCGGAAATGGCAGGCGGCCGTTTTCCCGGCCATGTGTGGATTATGCAAGGCCCATGGAATCTGCATTTTCAACTGCTGTTGGGTGGCATATAACACGGTCTATGAAAGATGGGAAAATGGGGAAAGCAAGGGGAGTTTGCAAGAAAATTAAAAGAATTTTATTATTAACAGAACTCCTTCGAGATTACAGATTACTAAATCAGCCACAGAAAAAATTTATTTCATTTCCTTCGGAACATAAACATTTAAGTAACAGAAGTTTTAGAATCAAAGTATGTTCTTAAGAAAACTCTGTTGAGATTAGAGACTTTTAAATCAAAGGAAAATCGTACAAACAACAAACCTTTACAGTATACAAATTTATCTCAATTTTATTTTTAGTTAATGTTTAGCTCTCATATAAAACACTGGTTGTTTCTTTAAGAAAATATTACATATTTGAAGAAGTACAGTTCCCTTAGAACATCAAATATGTAGAATATTTTCTTGCCAGCGAGTTGCACCTTTCAGGAGAGTTAAGTTTCAGCGACACCCGCAGGAATATATGGCAGTAATGGGTATATAGCTACCCCTATAAGTAGGGTGGGCATGAAATTTAGAAGCTAAAAAAAATAAACAGGTAATTAGGTCAACGCCGCGTCGAGTGTCGCCGGCACGCGTAATGAACCTGTTCGGGAGTTAGGTTGAGTGGAGTTGGCCGACAAAGACACCTCGCCTTGCATTTCTAATAAATTTCTAGCCGGGCCGAGAGACGTCAAAACAACACGCGTCTTGCTCCTGGAAACGTCAGGTAAGCCGGCAATTAAATATGCGACCCAGCACACCCTTATGTGTCCGCCTGCGATGATCTTTCGGGCCAGAAGTTCAGTGGTGCACGGAAATGTGCGGGACAGGAGTTCGGCAAACGGGCGACTGTCGCGCGCCGCTGTTTTAACTAATATCCGCTCACCCCGACTGGCGACGGATCTTTTGGGCTTTATAGAATGTAATGTCTAGGACTGAGGCAGAGGCATTCCATCAGACCGCCTCCATTTGAATAATTAGGCGCTCGTGCCCGTCGCCAGTCGCCCGAGAAGGCCCACTTGCATTCCTGTGCACTTTGCATAACGAGTCCTTTTCCCCGTCCTCCTCCTGTTGCTGGGCATTGGACAGGAACAAGTGCTTAACCCGGGCCGAGTTAGTGGGCCATGTCAGGCACTTGAAAAAATATTTAAGTATTTTTTAACAGAAAACGTATAGAGAAATACACTTAGACCTTTTTTTACATATATATATATCAATAAAAAAAATGATTCTTCACAACTATCCCTCTGGCTATAACATTTTTCAACACTAAATTCGCAGGGCTGGCCAATCTAAAAAGATTCTACAACACTTCAAATATTAATTACCCTATCAACAATCCCTAAAAAGTGTAGAGCCAGTTTTAAAGATCATAACTAGAATAATTTATTTACAACCAACAAACCATTAAAAAAAAAGAAGTTCACAAACAATATTAAAGAAATTTAAAGCTTCATGGCAATCAGTAAAATCTGTTTGCTTTTAAAAAACAAATGTTTAACAACTACAATTTTCGGATGTTTGTTTTAGGAAAGTATTCATAAATAATAAATTATTACTTGAAAAGTAATATTTAAAATAGAACAAAGGAAAACATGCATTGTTTCAGTGCAGGAAAATGTTGCGGTCAGCAGTGTCCACGAGGGGTGGATGCACTCAAGCGGGGTAAGTCGGCATATGTTTCCTTGGAGGTGTTGCTGTTGGCTCGTGGCAGCACCACCAGCACCTGGCTGGGTGGCGAAGGATAAGGGCTGTGCAGGAATTCAGAGGACCAGCTGATGGGTTCTTTAAATCTCTAAAAGGAACATTCATTAGACATAAAATAATATTATTCATATTATAATAACAAGTGCACAGTTTACTTTAACTAAAAACATAAAACCATATAATATTTACTTACAAAAATTCAGTAAGGGTTTAAAAATAGTAAGATTTTAAAATACTGAATTAAAGTGTTCAAAGTGACCGCCTGAAATCGTGGGAACCCTGGTCTAAAACATATGCCAATCCTATTTTTCGTTTGACAAGTCGGCGGTGTAAAATTGCTATATCTTCTTAATTTGTTAAAAACAACCAAGACTATGTCGGCCACTGCCTTTACGGTTCCCATACAGCCTTACGCTGGTCCGCTGCTCATCATCAAGGATCTCATCCTGCCGGACGCAGCTCCTCAGGATTCAAGCAAGTCTGCCAATCCAGCCAAGAAGAAGCCCCGTGCCTCCTTCTTCGACCGCAGTGGCGTCCTAAAGAAGCTGGTGAAACATTGGACCCAGAGCAACGTGGTGGATGAGATCTGCTTCGAGGACCAAGAAGCCCTCTTGGATGCTTTTCTGGCCGCCTTGGAGACCTACATGAAATTCGTGGTCAAGAAGACGGTAGCACTGTGCGAGCATCGATCGGGCTATCACCTTTATAACGACGAGCGCTGTAAGATGAACAACGATATGAGGACCACGATGACGTTCCTCAACGATCTGGAGATGGCCGACTGTGGATCCTCGGATGATGATGCCGGATTTTATTACAAGCGTCGAAAGCAGAATACCGAAAAGCAGGGCAAGGGGGTGCGTTTTGAGTCTGTGAATGACACCGCCATGTTGGCCATCGGTGGACGGAAGCGTCCGGCGGAAGCTCCAGTACCGGAAGGTACTCCAAGCGATCCGGGGGCTAAAGCCCCGGTGAAGAGGCCCTTTGGTATGCGTTTCAAGCATCTGAGCATAAGGGATGTACTGCAGTTCATGGAGGAGGACAAGCGCTACTCTCGCTCCAATATGCTCCACGAAGCCTATTTGAGGTACACGACCTAAAAATGTATAATCATGGATTTGAAAAAATGTTATATTATGCAATTTGAATTAAAAACCTGTAAAGACGAATGGCTTACCGAAAGATAAAAAAATTTCTTTATAATAATTGGAGTAATTGCATATTTTGCTACCTTAGGTCTTTTGATTGACCCCTCCACTTATAATTTTGTTAGCATGAAATATTTTTCAAAAAATGTATTGTCAGAATTGGTACAGTCAGATGCATAATCTCACAGCATAGTTCCCCATTAAAAATTCCAAGATTCTCAATTTTGAGACTTTAAGATCCCATTCCCGAGTCCACAATATGTTGTGCCCTCTGCACGCGCGTTACGATTTCAATTGCAGCGATCCCAGTTCAATGAACTTCCTCTTCGCGTAAATCCCCCATGGAAACCCAGCACAAAAGCCCAAGGAAACAGGTGGTGTATGGTGGAAATGTGTGTGCTGTATCCTTTGTTTGGCTGCACTTGGCATTCAATGGATCCCAGTTCCAATCCCAATCCCGAACCCCGCTCCATGTGCACTTTGAACTTTTGTGCTGCACTGCTGCAGACGGACGACAATGGAGCGGGGCACTCAAAGGAATATCCGGCGGGACAGGAAGCATATGCGCACTGGAATCGAGTATCGAGCGTATTGCGCATGCGCCGCGCGATAGGAAACGTGATTTTATCGGTGCGGCTCATTATGTTAAGTGCTGGCAATAAAATCAAAGCGCACGCGGGCGACACATTTCATTGAACTTCAATTGAAGCCGTTCCTTGGGTTTGCTCACTCACGTACTTTTCCCGGCGACATGACCGAGGATCGTGCTAGGAACCTTTAAGGCGGGGAGCATTAATTTCCATGTAATTGTGGGCATTCCAAAGGGTTAGTGCGATTATAAATGCATTGAGGTTCGGAATATCTAAAAAACCTGGCACAGAAAAGGTATTCAGCTGGTGTCAACCTTTAATCAGTATTTTTTAGGGGTACTGGAAGTATATGCTCGAGTTCTTGGTGTTGTCACAAAATGGGTTATAAAATTGGAATTTCAAGAAACAACATGTATCTTGTTTACATTTATATTCATATTTACATAAAATATAATGTTATAAGTTCGGGCTGATCTTTTTAATAGGAACAGTCATGCCTTAGGGCAGCTGCTTTTTATTTTATTTGAATACAAAATGCGGAAAATATAACATACTTCACTAAAAGAATGCACCCACTAGAACTGTACCTCTTCCTATTCATAGATAACCGCCTGATAAATGCCTAATGTACAAACAAATTCAAAGTGGGCCCATCCTCAGGATCACCACCTGTCGGAGGTGCAAAGCTAGCCACCCCTATCCAATGCACCCTCTACAAAGTACTTGCTACATGTTGCAACCTCAACTCGGGCGTATATCCCTTTTTTCAAGGACTCGCAGGAGCAGCTGGCGAAGGCTCGAGGAAAATATCAAACGCTGTCAGGCGTAAACTTGACAGGTAGGCGAGAAGGAAAAGTTCTCCCCCTTTTTTGTTTGGTTTTTAACCAGACCAGCGATCGGAAGAGGAAACCACCCCAAAGTTGCCACTTTAGATCACTTAAAATAATATTTTTGATACATATTAAAAAATATTTTCTGAAACCTATCCTATTACAACCATCGATGAAAAGTAACATGGTATTAAATAAGAGGTATTTATAAGTTTTTTGATTAGATCGATACAGCAATAAAATTTACAATAGGTTTTGTAAAATTTCAATTACTTAAGAACCAAAGGGAACCATTTTTTTAAGTGTATGCCTCGCTTTTCCAGGCGGAAGAGGCGACTTTTTATGATGTCAGCAAGGTGTATTTGAACAGAGGACTGTGGTGCCGAGAACCTTGCAACCCAGTAAGGACAGGAAGGCGAATTCCGGCACATGCAGCACCACCACACCACCACAGACGATCCGTTGGTTCCTCTTTATAGGTGCACCACTATCGTGTTTGTATAGCAGGAACACACAAAGAGTTGTTTTTGTCTGAGGCAGGAAAATGTGTTGCACCTTTTTTGCATAACGCTGCTTTCTGTTCCGTTTCGATCCGATCCGACGATGTGGATATATGTCTGTCATCGTTATATTTTTAAAGAAGACTCCGACTTTTCTGTGCTGAAGTAGCAGCTGTGCCAATACATGGCCGTAAAAATAAAAGTCCAACAAATTGTTGTTTGCCGAATGGCTTTCGGGACCGGTGTTCCATTCAGCAGGGAACCCCGGAGAATCGGAGTCGGAATTGATTGGAGCCGGGCTAAGCTGCCCGTGTTTGCCCGATGGAACCTGATAAGGAACCTGATGGGGCCCCACAATGACATCTTGCTTCCCGCTTATTTACATATAATTGAGCACTCTCGTTATCTATCTAGTCATTTAAATAAACCCATTTTCGAAGGTTTACTGCGTTCTACTTATAAGTACCAGTATAGTGATTGAAGTAAAGTTTTTCACGATTAAAGGCCATGTGAAAGTCAGTGGTTTCTAAATGCTAATAGTTGCAGTTGATCGGTTTTGATTCGTGTAATGTCTAATAAAAGTCCTAGTAATTTTTGTAGTTCTCAAGAGCATGCTTTAAAATAAATTCATATATTTCCGAGGTATTCCTTTTTAAATGGAGTTTACAGTTTTAATTCTTTTTACGACTCTTGGACTGTTTGGTTTTAATTTTTTTATTTACTTTGGGTATTTTTTTAGGTATTATAATACACGTTTTAATTATCACAACGATTCTGTATAATCCTCGACCCTTTCGGCATTAAGGTGTGTTCGACTTCATTCTAAATCGATCATAAAGGTGCTGAATTGTAAAATTCGAGTGTCTTAACCGCCTCGACCTCCTTTTCGGACGACTTGGCTCCGTTTCTAATCCGCAACATATGCCGCGGTACGGTACGGACCACCATCCAATAGCTAACACAGTGGGCACTCACAAAAGAAGCCATAAAAACACATGGACACGTAGCGATTTGCGACGCCACAGACTGCGGCCCCAACTGTTGCGTATTAGAGCTGGAACAGTGAATACTGAAATCCGGGAAGAGGGAAGCGACCAGCCCCCGGTAAGACAATTTATGACTTTATTAACTTCAAAACGCAACCAGGCGGGCAACAAAGTGTTAAGCCACGCCGAAGATGAAGATGAAAATGAAGCTGAAGCCGAGGCGGCAAGGCGATGAAGTTGTGTAAATGAAATTAATCTTCAATAGACACAGGGCAATAAACGAAACCAGGCATCCCGAGCAGCCTGTCACTCACACTGGGAAAAAATTGGCTTGTTTAAAGCATATGTTTAAGATTTTATCACAAAATACCATACAAAACCAAAGCATAAAAAATTTGGCCATTGAACATTTTTAAAGAATTTTTGATTAACATAATTCTTAGAACAGTTCTTTTGATAACGAAAATATAATACTACAATGTTTAAAAATATATATTTATTTAAAGTACTGGAATTTTTCGCTGTGCATTTAGCCAAGCCATTAGTCATTAAACAATTTTCCACTGAAGCAGCCGCTTCCATATCCATTTTGAACCCCATCTCCTCCAGGCGCATTTGCTGCTGCCGCTTTTGCTGCGTATTTTGTCAGGTGTCATAAAAACCGAATTTATTGCGCATGTGCAGCGGCCATAAGAGCAGCGGTCTTCAGCATTTTGTTACAGATTTTCAGTTTTATTATTTAATTTTCTCGCTGCGAGAGCATAAATCACGATGCGTGCCGCACTAAGGTGACAGCACTTTAGGGCACATAAACACACATCGGGTATCGATCGGCATCGGGATCGAGATCTGGAGCGGTATCGGGATCAGGACGGATCCACAACAAAGGCGCGGAGCAGGTTGCTGGAATGTTAATTAAATGGGACGCGGGCAGTTCCATTTAAGGTGCGTAACTTGAAATTGAAGTTGCTATATTGATGGGCGAAAGCTGTTCGATTTGGGATGATTGATGTCCAGGCACAAGTCAATTGAAAATTCAGAAGAATTTTGATATATTTTTGAGAACTTTTATAACATACTTGATGGGGAACAAAAATGAAAAACAACCTAGATATAAGTATAATTGTATAATATCAGATTTAATACAAATGCTAACCTACATAACTATTTGTTCATTTGAGTGGTATTCCCCACTAACTACACAGAGAGAAATATTCAAGTACATTGTTCTTGATTTGAGAACACTCGTTCTTTGGTATCAATTATCTCAATATTAGATCGAAATGGTGAGAAGAGAAAACTTAAATTGAGTTTATTTAACAACTTCAATATGTATACACTACTGACTGGACTAATAGTGTAGTTGTTGAGATATACAATGTAAATACCGCCAATTCATCTTGACTTAAGCACAATGAAAACATTTTCATCTTAAAAAATGTCGTTATATTTTTAAGAACATTCTGAACTCAAATAAGAACGTCAGAATTCTCTCTGTGTACCCACCTTGTTTTTGAAAAAGTCCCAAAAATAAACTTGAATTTAAAATTTAAATTTGAGTCCTGAACTTATTCAAAGGGGATATTAAAATACTGCCTTGAAAATAAAACTGAATTGAGATGCTTATTATTATTTATAAATAAATTCTCATATAATACTCATATTTTTCCAAATAAATATCCTTTTTATGTCCATGACCCTCTTGTATTTCCCACTAACTTCCCACACCGTTTTCGCCATAAACCCGAAAAAATCATTCCCAAAAACTTGAATTTCACACGCTCCCGCCTGCGGGGGTTCTTCCTCCCTGCCTCCGGGTAAAAAGAGCACGTAATGTGGTTGATTCCTCCGATGCCGCTGCACTTGTTCCCACAAAATTCCGAGGCATAGGCCATTTCCATGAATGCCAAACAAGCAAAAATTTCACACTCGGCGAATGGAACTCCGAATAAAAAAGAGAGATGAACCTGAATGAGGCAGTGAACCTGCCATGGGGCCTGAGAAACAGGGAACCGAAATTCTCGATCTCAATTCCAGACATCAGCATAATCAACAAGATCACGCATCAAACGAGACGACAGCCGCATAAGAATGCAAAC